TACAATTCAAATCGCGCACATTGACATCCATTTCACAAGGGTTCCTAGATGCCATAGTCAGTCAAACTTTGATTTGATTTCAATGCGAGTCACTCACCTCACCTTTGGCATTCAGTTCTTTTCACTAGGTTTGGACCTATGCTTTAATGAAGCCTGGAGAAGAGTGGTCTTGCTGAAGCAAACTGTGCATTCCTGAACATGTTTAGATGAACAGGTACCACTTAACGGCACAGTCAGCAACACTTGGTAAGTTTATGTGCCAGGTTGGATTTCTCTCCCTTCTTCCCTCTATTTCTCCAAAAACAGAATCTCTGTCGCTGTTTACACATTTTTCCTCAGAGTGTTTCTGAAGAAGTCAGAACTAAGTTTATGAACTTTTGTCCTGTGCCCAACAGGCAGGACAAATCCAACCCAGCCAATTACCATCTGATTAGTCTACTCTCCATTATCAGCAAACTTGTAGAAGGGACAATTGACCAGCACTTGCAAATGAATAACTTGCTCGCTGATACTCAGTTTGCAATCTGGCAGAGTTACTCAGCTTCTGATAGCCTTGGTTGAGATATGGACAGAACACCATAAGTGAGGAGAGGGTGACTGCCCTTGAAATCAAGGCTGCATTTGACCAAGTATGACAGCAAGCAGCCCTAGCAAAATTGGAGTTAATGGGAATTAGGGAGGGGCCATCTCTATTGGCTGGAGTCTTGCCTAGCATTGGTCGTTGCAAACAGCAAAGCGGACTGTGAGCTCGGGTATTTCCTGATCAATAGGATGAAAAGGAGGAAAATGAAGACTAACCATAAGGCTGGTCTGAACTTTGGGACAGATTATCTTCAATAAAGTTGACAAAAGGAAAAAACAGAAAAAAAAAGAGAAGTGGGGATGTTCCACGATGATTGCGTAATGTTCAACACCATTTGCAACTCCTCAGATACTGCTGAAGTCGGCCAAATCCAAATGTAGCAACATCTGGACAAGATCCAAGGTTTGTTGGTAAGTGGCAAGAAACTTTCACACCATGTCAATACTGCTGGACATTCAACAGCATTAACATCACTAAAGCTGCCAATACCAATATCCAGGAGTTACCATTGACTAGGACCAGCCTATAAATACTGTGGATACAACAGCAGGTCAAAGACTAGGGATTCTCCATCAAGTCACTCACTTCCAATGCCTGTCTAACATCCAAAAATGCACAATTCAAATAGGTACAGCTCCAATAATATTCAAAATGCTCAACACCACCCAGGATAAAATGGTCCATTTTATTGTCCCTACACCCCAAGGATGGCAGTGATAGTCGAGGCAGCAACACACCAACTTCACCAGCACAACTCGGGTTGGGTAATAAATGTAGACGTAGCCAGAGATACCCAGATCTCATGTACAAATAAAGACCTTTTTAAAAATAGTGTTGTTGCTCATTTGATGAAATGGTTCTGCAAACTCTGTGTCCATTTGCACCACTTCTAACTTTTGCAACCAGATGTCATGGTAAGAAAGTCAACAAAATTTACACAACTTGTAGTTTTGGACAAATGGCACCTCACAAATTTGCAAAACAAAATTTCTATGCTAATTTCCATCCACCCCTCTTCCACTTGAGCTTTCTTCTTTAAAAAGGAAAGTTGTTTCACTTGTATTCTCTGAATTTATTTCTATCTCCTAATTATTTACTGGCCCCCAACACAAGACTTTAGTTTTTCTCTCCTTAGAATTAAATATCAAAAAAGAAAAATACAAAATTATATATATTTTTAGTATTATCTTGCATCCATGTATGAATTTCTCATATTCTTCCAGGTTCTTCTCTCTAAAGGATTGTGAAAGTTAGAAGATTGGCTTCTGCCCCTTGGAATTTTTTTTTGGTTTCAGCTCAAACAAGAACAACTGATCAAAACAGTTACCAAAAACTTTACAGATAACAAGGTGTAGAGCTGGATGAACACAGCAGGCTAAGCAGCATCAGAGGAGCAGGAAGGCTGACGTTTCGGGCCAGACCCTTCTTCAGAAAAAGAACTTTAAATCAGAGGCTGCATTGAAACCCAAACTATCACACAGTGAAGTCATCATTTGCAACAAAGGCTTCTAAATAATTTGCATCAACCGTACCCTGCATTTCTACAAAGGCTTCTCCCTCATAACTGAATTCTCTGTCCATTGATTGGTGCCTAATTGGGCAGTTACATGCTGTAGAATAAGAGAGTTCCTGGGCTTTGCAGAAGTTTACATTTATAAAGAGTTCAGTACATGATTTAACACAGTGAGTCAACTAGTTATCTGAACTCAGGAACGTGTGCCGACATGAACTTGTGCACACACACACAGTGGGGGAGGGTGGTTGTTGAAGCCAAATTTAACAGTAGGTTTGCGAACTTGCTTCGTACAATTTTATTACTTGATCAATTATATCTCAGGGGTGGGTTAAAAGCTTCACATTGGTATTTCTCAGAATCTGTGCTTTGCTGAAATCCAATAGAATATTATTTTTTGGCTAAGAAGAAAAACAGATACGTCGAATGGACAAACACAAAGCAGATGAAATGCAATGCAGATAAAGATGAATTAGATATATTATCTGGAAGAATGAACCTAGGAAATACAAGCTAAAATTTCACCATTTTAAAAAGATATGCACACAGCAAACCTGGGGGTGTTTGGACATATCTGATGGTTTAAAAAAACATATTTTTTAAAAAAGTATGTTTAGGATTTGGAATGCACAATAATAAAGTGATGAATACAGATTCTATACTCCTCTTCAAAAGGGAATTGGATAAATACATGGAGAAAAAAACTGCAGGATTATGGGGGAAAAGAGCAAGGGAACAGAGCTAACTGAACTGGTCATCAAAAAGAGGTGCCAGAGATTTGATGGGCTGAATGGTATAGCACAGACAGAGGCCAGTGAATCCATGGTCCAGGTATTCCGATGGCCAGATACTAGAAATAACTAACGGGAGTTATGCACCAGGACCATGTGAAATCTCTGACAAAGGTGACACTATAGAAAATACCCAGGAAACTGAAGATTCTGAAAGGCAATTTCCCTGCACCTGGAACCCTCTGAAAAAGCAGCTTGAAATCAGAACTCACAGGGTTCTGGCTCCCTTAATCTTAATAGTTACCCAATAGTTACCCAGGCAAGGTTGGAGGATTAGAAACTGTTTCTCCTGGGTAACTATTCAACTGTATTATGGTCCCAACTGATAGTAATACTGTACAAGTCAGATAAAAGCGTGAAACCTGGCTCAATTCAAAGCAAAATACTGCAGATGCTGGAAATTTGAAATAAAAACAAAATTATGGAGAAATTTATCAGAAATTTATATGGCTGCATTTGTGGTAAACCAATTATTTTACCCTCAATAATATAAACCTTACAAGGAGTATAGGATCATCTGTCTACACTCTCAAGTCCCTTGTTCAGTCCTCTACAGCTGTAACACCTTCAATAAACATTTGCATTCACTCGATGCTATCTTCTTTAGCCGATGTCACTTCATGAGATCCTTAAACAAGCTGCTACCTCAGCTCACTTGTCCCTACACTCTTTGAATCTCTTTGAGCTTGTGTATTTAACAGCCTCAGAGAATGTCTTCTTCTTTGACACCTTAAATCTTTCCATTTCTGGAGCTTTTCTCTTACTAACTTCTAAGACACTCAGGACTTCTTTCTTCTCCATGACTGTTATGGAGGCTGCTTCTACAGGCCACCTCTCTCTGAAAGACCTGAAAATTGACACAGGGAGACAGAAACAGAAACAAGCTCATTTAGAAAGTAAAAGGACATCTTGTTGCTCAGTAACAGCCCAATTTCTTTTGCTCATTTACTATTATTTTGAATTCATTGAGCTGTTCTCATCAAAAGCTTTTAAATTTTTAATCATAAACACACAAACCTCCAAATAACCCATAATCACACTTAACTCAAAATGGAACTAAAACTGTCCTTCATTCCTCCTTGACACATACAATACAGAAATATAAAATTAAACATAAAAGTTCTATATTATTTCTCAACTCTAGAATCCAAAATTTCCAAACAATAATCATTTCTTATAACTTGCAGCACAACCGAATGACTTATCAATGACCTCACCGACTATAACCTCCAACTCTTGACACGACCTGACATGGCATTCACTCCCCTCCCAAATACCAACCTGACAATACCAGCCTAATACTAAACCCATACCAACACTGTCAGGCTAGATTCCCACCTTCTAACCCCCTACCCCTCACACACCCCTCACCTCCCTACTCAACCAAAACCCCACTCCCTGCCTGACATTCCTGGAACAGAAGCTTACACTCCTCACCCACGATCCCAAACATTCATCAATTTATTTGGCATCCTCCCCACCTCCCACACCCGCATTTTGTCAGCCACAATGCATGCTCACAGGGAAGCGATGGCCTAGTGGTATTATCATTGGACTGTTAATCCAGAGACCCAGGTAACATTCTGGGGACGCGAGTTCAAATCCTGCCAGGGCGAATGGTGGAATTGGAATTCAATAAAATACTTGGAATTAAGAATCTAATGATGACGATGATCCATTGTCGATTGTTGGGAAAACCCATCTCGTTCACTAATGTCCTTTAGGGAAGGAAAGTGCCATCCTCACCTGGTCTGGCCTATACGTGACTCCAGACCCACAGCAATGTAGTTGACTCTTAACTGCTGTCTGGGCAATAAATGCTGCCTCGCCAGTGATGCACTCATCCTGTGAACCTTTAACTTAATATATGGCAGCAGTATCATTAAAAAGCAGTACATTTTTGCCTATTTCACTACTCCTGTGCAGTGTAGATCTCTCTCTGTTTGCTCCGTAGACAAATTGTTGACAGGCCAGCCACAGAATCTTGGATAGAAAAGCAGTTAAGTGCATAAATCTGAAGAGGAAAACCATCAGTCGTATCTATTCTGAAAACAATTTGAATTTCTGGACCCACACTTTTAACTGTGTGGAGGCTTTGGTGGATTGCACAACAATGGACAAAGAGAAACTGGTCCAGAAGGATCGGCAAGTTTCAAATATTGGCCGATTTATTTTTGAAGTCCTTAAAATGGGATTACTGAGCCCAATACATACTCCTGAGGGAGCAAATACGGCAGCATAGATCAGGGATCAAGCCCAGCAATTTGAAAGCATGGACCACACAAATGTATGTTCCATTCTTGATCTAACTACTAAACCATCAACAATTTCTGAGCTGTTTTGTTAAGCTAGTATTATATTTCCTAACCCAGAGACAATTCTTTCATAAAAAAGTGTAGTAATTAGAAAGCAACCCAAAATATTTTTTTCTCAAACTTTATTGGCAAAAATTCACACAATCATGTGCATGTCACGAGGAGATTTGTGTACTGCATCATCAAACTTGAAAATATTAGCGCTGTGATTATCGAGGCACTTGGACTTGAGTGCATTAGAGACTTCACCAACCCAGGTACTTGCACTTTGTGGGATTCACTCCACTTGATGCAAAACTACAACAATTTTTTAAAAAAGAGATTACACAGTAAATGCAGCGTGGATTATTTTTCATGTTGCAGGAGCAACTGAATTAATCTATAAAACCATAAAAATCAACCACCTGCTCCAGCAGCATAACTGTCATGATGTTGCACAATATAGGCAGTAGTTTCCAATCAGTATTTGCAGTAGAACAGCAACCTAAGTGTGACGTGCTACTGTTCACTTTATCCAACCCCATGAACAATCTGAATGTACAAGCTTGGCCAAAACACATTCAAATTACCATCTGTAAATGTACAAGTCCATATTGTTCATCTAGTCCTTCCCACTCAAGCAAGTAACAAAAGGAAATGAGTCAATTTACTATCTGTGGGAAAAACCCTTGTTGTGCAGAGGCACAAAATGGCCGCCTCATATGATAAAATGCTAAATTATTCAGGCTTCTTTCCAGCACAGCCCTACTTAAAACACACAGAACACAGCCCAATGCAAATAAGAACTTTGATGGGCAATGATAAAAGGTTTCACAATTGACATATGCAAAATGACATGAGTAAACGAAAATCTACCGAAAGAAACATTATACAAGCATTTCATTGATTCTGTTCAGCAAATAATTACTCCAGTGTCACAGCATGGTTGGAAGGTTTACAAAAGTAATAGGAAATTGTAAAAGAAAATTGTAAGTAATTCATAGAATGAATCTTCCCTACTTACAGATCACCAGATCATTTGGCACTAACTATAATTAATCTGAACACAGAATCCAGAGGGATACTCCAGGGGTGTGTTGAGAGATTGCTGTATTTTTGGAGGTGCAGAGTGTAGTTAGAAATGACAAATAAAATCCCTTCATACACTTTGTCAAATGTTGCAGCACCAATCACTGGTGAAATGTGGTTTGATGTAAAGTGTTGCCACCTATTTTCCTCTCTATCCTTTGCCTAAAGGCCTATTTGGTTTGTAGTGGTAGAGGATAAACCATTAGTTAGTCTTAGCAGGAAGAGGTACTTCGCTCGACAAGATCTAGCCTTTTGCACAACAAACAATACAAGTTATAATGACTAGTTAGGTGTAACTGCAAAGATTCTCAGGAGACCAAGGTGATGTGCGTCCCCATCAGGACCTGGTACTAGACTCCTCCTTCTTCATCCAAACTCTGTGACATATCAGATTGGGACGAGCCGAATGCAATTTCCTATATTAATCTTTTCAGAACCGTTACTTTATATAAGACTTCCCAATGATTCAGGTAGATGTTGAAGATCTTCTAGCATTTGATAAAGACCAAGTAGTTCTCTCAAACGTGATACCAATATTCCATCCACAATACAGAAATAACAAATAAACTTATTCATTCATCCAATAGCTATTTGGAAGATCATGTTATGGATAAATTGTTGTCACATATCTAAATAATGCTTGCTGCAATTCAGACCAAATTTCATGTACATATATTACTTGTTCTGCAGTTTGAGACATAAATACAAGCCTTCAATCCTGAAACAGCTAACATTTGCCTTTTTTCAACCACTATATTTCTAACTTCATTTGCACGGAACGTCAAACGTTAGACAGGTATGTGATTCAAGGTGACTTTCTCAGGTGCAGTTTCATTCAAACAAAGGCACATGGCTCACATGCACCTGATCTGTACACAGCAATTTCTCCAGAGCCAAATTTAACTCCAGATAAGGAAACTTAGCTTAGAGTTAGAAACTTAGAGTATTTTTTTTGAACACTGGAGTGCCTCAGCAGTTTTCCTTCAGGAGGCACTAAGTTGGGGAGGCAAAATAGAGAGTAAAGAAGAACAAAGTTCAAAACTGCTCAATAATTAAATGCCTATGTCTCCTTTGTCCTAGCAGAAGATCGTTACTGTACTCCTTTCCCTCCTGTCCTCTTCAAGAACCCATAAGATGAAATGACAAACTATTTTTTTCTGAGGTATTTGGAATACAGCTGGCAACTATACCAGTCAGAATCTGACGCTGTACAGCCATTAATCTGGCTTCACCATAACCAATATGAAGTCTGTAAAATAAACTTCAAAAATATTTCTTAACTGGGGCATTGTCATCCCTCTCCAGTACTAAGCACATGTGTACACAAAACAGTGAGTGTCAGCACTTAAGCTTGCTGTGCTTTCAAATTAGAATTTTATTTGCATTTGGGAGATTAGCGTGCATAAACTGATTCTCAACATTTGTAGAACTTAATATGGCTTCTTTCTCATTATCAAAAAATTGTGAATCCATGGAAACCCCAGTCGTTAGATCTACAACAGGATGGGTCTATAGGGAGTGGTCCTCCAATATTTGACCTGGATGATTACACCAACAGGCATGTTGATTCTGATGAAACTCCTGGAATTAGCACAAAAGGTCCTTGACACAACTGGAATGCAATTGACTGCAGATATATGAACTTCCCTTACGTTAATTACACTTCATATTAAGGTTGTACAGGACATTGGTGAGGCCTCTTCTGGAGTACTATGTACAATTCTGGTCACTCTGCTACAGGAAGGATATTATTAAATTGGATAAGGTGAACAGCAAGGGTCTTTCCCTTAGGTGAGGGAGTTCAAAACTAGGGGGTATATTTTTAAGGTGACAGGATGAAGATTTAAAAAGGACATGAGCGGCAACCTTTTTTTCTTTACACAGAGTGGTTCCTATATGGAATGAACTGCAGAGGAAGTGGAGGATGTAGGTACAGTTACAACATTTAAAAGACATTTGAATAAGTACATGAATAGGAAAGGTTTGGAGGGATATGGGCCAAACGCAGGCAAGTGGGACTAGTTTGGTTTGGGAACATGATCGGTGTGAACTTGTTGGACCGAAGGGTCTGTTCATGTGCTGTATGACTCTATGACTATAATTGTAACTCCATGAAAAATGCAAGTCAACAACTCTACTTTAGCGATGGAAAGGGATCGGTATATAACGCAGGGCAAGAGTTATAGCTGGGGGAAAGGCAATTATGAGGCGATGAGGCAAGATTTAGGATGCCAAGATTTAGGATGCACAGGATGGAGAAGGAAACTGCAGGAGCTGGGCACAATTGAAATGTGGAGCTTGTTCAAGGAACAGCTACTGCGTATCCTTGAGAAGCATGTACCTGTCAGGCAGGGAGGAAGTGGTCGAGCGAGGGAACCGTGGTTTACTAAAGAAGTTGAATCTCTTGTCAAGAGGAAGAAGGACGCTTATGTGGAGATGAGGCGTGAAGGCTCAGTTAGGGCGCTTGAGAGTTACAAGTTAGCCAGGAAGGACCTAAAGAGAGAGCTAAGAAGAGCCAGGAGGGGACATGAGAAGTCTTTAGCAGGTAAGATCAAGGAAAACCCTAAAGCTTTCTATAGGTATGTCAGGAATAAAAGAATGACTAGAGTAAGATTGGGGCCGGTCAAGGACAGAAGTGGGAAGTTGTGCGTGGAGTCCGAAGAGATAGGACAGATGCTAAATGAATATTTTTCGTCAGTATTCACACAGGAAAAAGACAATGTAGTCGAGGAGAATACTGAGATACAGTCTATTAGACTAGACGGGATTGAGGTTCATAAGGAGGAGGTGTTAGCAATTCTGGAAGGTGTGAAAATAGATAAGTCCCCTGGGCCGGATGGGATTTATCCTAGGATTCTCTGGGAAGCTAGAGAGGAGATTGCAGAGCCTTTGGCTTTGATCTTTATGTCGTCATTGTCTTCAGGAATAGTGCCAGAAGACTGGAGACTAGCAAATGTTGTCCCCTTGTTCAAGAAGGGGAGTAGAGACAACCCTGGTAATTATAGACCAGTGAGCCTTACTTCGGTTGTGGGTAAAGTGTTGGAAAGGATTATAAGAGATAGGATTTATAATCATCTAGAAAGGAATAATTTGATTAGGGATAGTCAACACGGTTTTGTGAAGGGTAGGTCGTGCCTCACAAACCTTATTGAGTTCTTCGAGAAGGTGACCAAACAGGTGGATGAGGGTAAAGCGGTTGATGTGGTGTATTTGGATTTCAGTAAAGCATTTGATAAGGTTCCCTATGGTAGGCTATTGCAGAAAATACGGAGGCATGGGATTGAGGGTGATTTAGCGGTTTGGATCAGAAATTGGCTAGCTGTAAGAAGACAGAGGGTGGTGGTTGATGGGAAATGTTCATCCTGGAGTTCAGTTACTAGTGGTGTACCTCAAGGATCTGTTTTGGGGCCACTGCTGTTTGTCATATTTATAAATGACCTGGATGAGGGCGTAGAAGGATGGGTTAGTAAATTTGCGGATGACACCAAAGTTGATGGAGTTGTGGATAGTGCGGAAGGATGTTGCAGGTTACAGAGGGATATAGATAAGCTGCAAAGCTGGGCTGAGAGGTGGCAAATGGAGTTTAATGCGGAAAAGTGTGAGGTGATTCACTTTGGAAGGAGTAACAGGAATACAGAGTACTGGGCTAATGGTAAGATTCTTGGGAGTGTGGATGAGCAGAAAGATCTCGGTGTCCATGTGCATAGATCACTGAAAGTTGCCACCCAGGTTGATAGCATTGTTAAGAAGGCGTACGGTGTGTTAGGTTTTATTGGTAGAGGGATTGAGTTTCGGAGCCATGAGGTCACGTTGCAGCTGTACAAAACTCTGGTGCGGCCGCACTTGGAGTATTGCGTACAGTTCTGGTCACCGCATTATAGGAAGGATGTGGAAGCATTGGAAAGGGTGCAGAGGAGATTTACCAGGATGTTGCCTAGTATGGAGGGAAGGTCTTATGAGGAAAGGCTGAGGGTCTTGAGGCTGTTTTCGTTAGAGAGAAGAAGGTTAAGAGGTGACTTGATAGAGACATACAAGATCATCAGAGGATTAGATAGGGTGGACAGTGGGAGCCTTTTCCTCGGATGGTGATGGCTAGCACGAGGGGACATAGCTTTAAATTGAGGGGTGATAGATATAGGACAGATGTCAGAGGTAAGTTCTTTACTCAGAGAGTAGTAAGGGCGTGGAATGCCCTGCCTGCAAAAATAGTAGACTCGTCCACTTTAAAGGGCATTTAAATGGTCATTGGATAAACATATGGATGATAATGGAATAGTTTAGGTTAGATGGGCTTCAGATTAGTTTCACAGGTCGGCGCAACATCGAGGGCCGAAGGGCCTGTACTGCGCTGTAATGTTCTATGTTAATCTACTGCCACTTTAAGGTTGCTCCTTGGAACACGAGGCCAGGGATACAATACATTGAATTTTGTCTCCCTTTCAGCAGGAGAATCCCATCTACTAAAAGTGACAAGGTTCCTATGCAGATACAGCAGCTAAATAGTTCAGCAAGTTATTCTCTCAAGACAAGACTCAAAAACAAGTAGAACAGCAAAGAAAAATACCCTCCGGTTATCAAGTAGACAATACTATCATCTTTAGCTTTTGTAGTCCACAACTATTACTGTTGGTAAAAATAAGTGTTAATCGTGCAAAACCAAATTGTCAGAAGACAAGTGAGAGTAACTTTTTGTGGTGAAAACTGTCTCTGCAAATTATTACATGCAGGGTGGATACTGTACCAATCACATGCAACACAAAGGCCTTTCTATTAAATATATTCACTCAGTGGATGAGAGTGTCACTGGCTGGGTCAGCATTTCTTGTCTGTCCCTAGTTGCCCTTCAGAAGGTGGGAGTGAGCTGCCTTCTTGAACTGCTGCAGTCCATATGCTGTAGGTAGACCCACAATGCCATGAGGGAGAGAATTCCAGGATTGTGACCCAGCGACACTGAAGGGAGAAAAAGTGATACATTTCCAAGTCAGATGGTGAGTGGTTTGGAGAGGAACTTGCAGGCAGCGGTGTTCCCTATATCCACTGCCCTTGTCCTTCCAGATGGAAGGGGTCGTGGGTTTGGAAAGTGCTGTCTAAGGATCTTTGGTGAATTTCTACAATTGATTTTGTAGAAAAGTATACGTTCCTGCCATTTAGCATTTGTGGTGGAGGGAGTGGATGTTTGTGGATGTGGTGCCAATCAAGCTAGCTGCTTTGTCCTGGATCGTGTCAAGCTTCTTCAATGTTGTTGTTGTTGCAGCTGCACCCATCCAGGCAAGTGGGGGAATATTCCATCACACTCCCAACTTGTGCCTTGTAGATGGTGGTCAGGCAGTATTCCTAGCCTTTGACAATGGCTCTTGTAGCCATTAGCCTCGTAGTCTATTTTAGCTTGTACCATGACTGAACCAGGGACAGGACAATGTTTCTGCATTATCTCAGTTCCTGTCACAGCCTGCTCCAATAAACTTAGTTGAAACAATGCCACATTTGCCATCTGGATAATACATGCTAAGAAGAGACATAGCCAAAATATCATACGATTCAGCCTTTAGTATCAAATTCATCACATTTTGTAGAGGACTTCTCTCTGTGAGCTCTAGCGAAATGTCTCACCGTATTGTTCCAAACGTCGCTCATTAACTACCAAGCACACTCCACCAATGCCCTTTATGTCTGCTACTAGTCCAATCCTACCATCTTGTCAGTTCAACTGTTCACAGGAATGTCCAGCAGCGCTATAAAAAGCCAATGACCTTACCACTCTGCATGGGAAGTGCCACCACCTTTCCACTGCTACCTTACAACGATATCCCTGCTGCTGCCCCCACCTCCCACCAAGGTTCATGCTCTACCAGTCTCATTGTGCCATGCAACATCACCACACACTTGCTTGCTCCCAATCCCATTCACAACCTGAATGCCCTCTACACTGCCAACTCATTCATTCTGGACATCTGACCACCAGCACCTGCAGCTCTACCAGCCACTTTCATCTCCTGTAATTCCTTCTTTCTCTCATTCTAGGAGAAGACGCTCCACATTCAGGCAGAATGGACCCAGGTGGGTGGGCCCACCTGATATTAAGTTCATCTCCGACAAGGAGCGAATCCTGGCCCTCACACTTCCACCAAAACATCCATGTCCTGCCAACCAGGTAAGCCGTATTCTCCATTCCAGTTCTATTCTCATATTAACCACATGGTTAGTGTTGGTCATTACACACAACTTATAACCCTTAACCACATTGGCTTCTCTCTCTGGAGTCTTACAGGGTTAAAGTGGGGTGACCACTGTCTGAGCAGTCAAGCAAGCCACCCTGCAAGCAACACCCTCCAGCTCCCCTCAGGAGAAGAATTCACAGGCCACAATGGACACATCAGCAAAGCTACCTCCTGCACCCCACTCAGACACTGAGCTTGCATGCTGGTGAGCACATCACTGGCACTTCTCCATAGCTGGCACAGATGACTGATGGAGACCAGGCACTTTCTCAGCCCCAAACAGTGACACCCAGTGGTGTCAGCAATCAGGGACTTAATGAACATGAAGAATCAAGCACAGGTCCACCTGATAAGTATGCAATAAGCAATGCCCTAGTAGTCTAGAGGCAGCAGAACTGCAGCTACACTAGGAAGACACAGCTGCCATAAGAGTACGGTCACCTGGAAACCTCGAGTGACAAAATTGCAGCAACTTCCTCTGTGACCATGCTAAAGGTATGGATGGCATGGCAAGGGAAGGGAAGGCAAGGCAGGGCAGGTCAAGAGGAATGCTGTGAGCAGCTAAGTCAGTGAGTGAACTCTATCGGAGCAAGCAGCCTGGTCCAATCCATGGGTTGGGTACCTGCCCCTGTGCACAGTGTCCTCGCAGCAGCATATCAATGCTAGTTGCTAGTGTGTCCCAAACTGCAGCTTTAAAGTGCAGAAACATCCTGCAAATGGATTGAAAATGTGCCATGTGGGACCTGAAAGGCTGGCAGTTGTCACATGCTGGTGTTCCTGAACGTGGGGTGCGTGTAACTGATGCTGAGGCATTGTTGCCTGCTATCTAAGATGGCCACCCAGAGGAACAAGTGGCGAGCTGAAGTTGCCAGGTACCTGCTCTGACACTTTGACATCAGTTTCTTTGCAGTGGGTGGGAGAATAGGAAGAAGATTAATCAGCAAGAATGGTTGTCAACGAGTCTGCTAACAAGTCATAATACTCATTGGTAGGCATCTCATTTCAATGCCTGGAAATCTGTTTAGAAAATGCAATGAATTGCTCCTGACATTGAGAATGTTTTTATGACTTCTCACCCTATTCTCCCACATTTCTCAATACAGCCCATTTCATTCAGGCCCTTAAGATTCCACACAGGTTCTTGAAATTAGCTGTCAAATATTTTGTTTAAAAAAAACTTAAAGGCAGACATGATTAATTGGATCACAAAAAGGACACTGGTTGAACTCAGAAGTATATCATCCACAAGATTCATGACAGCAACTTGACAAGACTCATTTAAAACTAAGTTCCAAACCTGCGACACCTACCACCTAGAGGGCAAGGGCAGCAGACACATAGAGACCATAACCTGTCATTTTCCCTCCAAACCACAAACTATCCTGACTTGGAACAACATCACCGTTCTTTCAATGTCATGGAGTCTTGGAACTCTCCAGTAGATGGTAGGTGTACCTACATCAGTTCTGATGTAGTTCTGATGAACTGCAGCAGTTCAAGAGAGCAGATCAGTAGCTCCTCATCAAGGGCAATTAAGGATGGGCCACAAGTGCTGACCTAGCCTGCAATATCCATATCCAAGAAAGAATAAATTCCACAAAGTACTCCAGATTCTCAACTGTCTCCTGGTAAACCATTAAGCTGCACCAAACTACTACGACAAAGTATAATAAAATAAGAACCCACTTGACTACCCAAAAGCAACTACAGCATCAAGATACCTGGGCACAAAAGGCACACACAGCTTGGCATGCCTGCAAAGTCAACCCCAATAATATTTGTAATATGCCAAAATCAGGGTAGCTGTCCCACAAACTATTCAAACGTTAGCATGACAGTCAACCTTACTCAGAATCAAATTTTTCGATGTTCCACACTCTTCTGTCATCATTCTTAGAAATGTGTTGTCCCACAGGACTGGACCCCACCAAGCCATATGGTGTTAGCTCAGACTTTGGCAAAGAAGCCTCCTGTTGATTACCAACAAACTGCCTGTCTCAAGTGAAGAATCAGGACTCAACATGATTTAGTAACACTTACTTGCCAATGATATTCTCAAAGCTCAATTTGGGTTCTGCAGGACAATTCAGGCCAGGACAGCCTTCATCCAAACATGATTTCAGGGGTGTGGCAAAACGCTGTCCTTGATATCAAGGCAGCATCTGATCAGTGTGGCCATAGCAAAACTAAATCTGGGCAAAATCTCCACTGGGTTGAAATCATACACAATACTAGGAAATATTATCTTGTTTGCAGGAGGTCAATTATCTCAGTCCCAGGTTACTGGCCACATCATCTTCAGCTACTTCATTAATAACTTTTCCCCAATCAGGAACTCAGAATTGGGATGTTTGCTGACGATTACAGTGGTCGGTACCATTCACAAATCCTGAGATATTGAAGTATTCCATACTTTCAGGTAACAAGACATGGCTAAGACTTAGAATGATGAGTGGCAAATACATTCACAGCTTATTAGTGCCAGGTGATGACTATTTCCAAAAAAGATGGTGTAACCACTTCCTGGGATCTTATGGCACAGTGATAGTGTCTATTTCTGAGCCAGGATACCTGGGTTCAAGTCCCACCCACTCCAGAGATGTCTAATAACATCTGTGAACTGGTTGAGTAAACATATCTATGAAACGATAAGTTACAATCATTTTCCCTTGACCTTCAAATGGCATTATCAGCATCAAGTCCCTGACATCAATATCCTGGGCAATACCACTGACAGACTTAATTGGAGAAGACACCAATACAGTGGTTACAGGAGTAGATCAAAGGTTGGGCATTCTGCTGTGAGTGACTTACCTCCTGCGTCATGCCACTATTTACTAGTTATAATGGTTTACTAGTTATAACAGTAATAGAATAATCTCTTCTTGCCTGGTTGAAAATGAGCAAAGGGAGGGAAAATTTTAAAGGCTGTCAGCACCTATATGTAAAAAAAATTGATATTCCAGAGTAAGGCACCAGTTTCAGCTGTGACAACTTGTGTACAGTTTTATGAGCCTACTTCAGAAATATATTAATATTTTCTGTAAAGTTCACAGAAGCATTTCATGGATAATTCAGGGATTATGGAATCATATAGTACAGAAGAGGCCTTTCTGCCCATGGAGTCTGCACCCAACATAAAACTACCCTTAAATCTAGACTAGTCCCACTTACCAGCACTTGGTGCATAGCCTGGAATGTTATGACACTGAGAGTACATCCAAGTGCTTTTTAAAGGTTGGAACATAAGACATAGGAACAGAATTAGGCCATTCGGCCCATCAAGTTTGCTCTGCCATTTGATCATGGTTGGTGCATTTTTCAACCCTATTTTGCTGTCTCCCTGCTGCTGGTATCTTCCACTATGAAAACTGATTAAAAGTACCTATTCAGTTCCTTTGCCATTTCTTTGTTCCTCATTACTACCTCCACAGCCTCATTTTCCAGTGGTCCAATGTCCACTTTTGCCTCGGTCTTACTTTCTAGATAACTAAAAGAAAATACTCTTGCAATCTTCTTTTATATTACTAGCTAATTCACTCTCCTGTTTCATCTTCTACCCCCCACATTGCTTTTTTAGTTATCCTTTGATGGTTTGTAAAGGCTTGCCATTCCTCTGGCTCCCCACTAATCTTCATCATATTGTATGCTTTTTCTTTTGCTTTATGGAGTCCCTGACTTCCCTTATCAGCCATGATTGCATCACCCTCCCCTTAGTATGTTTATTCTTCCTTGGGATGAATTTCGGTTGTGAGTTTGTGAGGCTTCCCACTTCAACTACTGTCCAGGCAGTGCATTCTAGATTCCCACCAACCTCTGGTGGAAAAACCTTTTCCTGAACTTCCCTCTAAACGTCCTGCCCTTCACCTTAAAGTTATGGCCCTTTGTTCTTGACCCTTCAAATAAAGGCTGCTTTCTATCCACCCTGTCCATTCCTCTCAATCAGGTCCCCTCACAGCATTTTCTGCTCTAAAGAAAACAACCTAACCTTACCTAGTCTCTCTTCATAGCTAAACTGCTCCATCCCAGGCAATATTCTAAGCCTGAGTTTGAACAGCTGACCTCATTATAATAAATGTGGAGGGAAATGGAAATGACTGGGTGAGAAATACAATCATTTGCTTTCCAATGTTAAGGCCTTGAGGATAAACTTTAAATTTTAAATCTGGCCACACAGGCCTCAAGCAGCTTTGAGCAATACCAGAAGTAAATATCACATCTGGGAAACTATGTTTTCACTGGAACATGCTTGCTGTGGGCTTTGGCAGGCCTGCTGAGTTGCTATTAGTTCAGAGACCTGCAGCAGGGGGTTGGCAGCAGTGGCACAGTACAAAGTCTAACAAAAGCTACTAAACAGTTGGCAGATTACTTCCCATATCACCTACCCCAAACTGTTGTAAACAATCACATCTGTGGATTACATTCTCAGCAAAGTAACTTTCGCTTGATCACTAAACTGAAGGTTATAACTTCAGATATTGATATTCTGATTTGTTTGGAAATTTGGTCAGCGTAAAACCAGCACATCATCCAGGGAAAACATTGGGAAAATTACAAAACAATCCCATTTGGCTTTCAACAGCTACATTTGCTCCACTGTCCTCATCAGATGCTCTGTCAGAACAATCACCTAAAGGTGCACCATTTCTGTGGACCATTCAACTCGAACTTAATTTATAAATCTTTTGGATTCTGTCACCAATTTCAAACAACAATCGGCTCTTCAAAACTATACTGCTTGGTTTATACTGTTTTTGAAACCACAAACGTCTTTGCTCCCTTTGTGAATGGTCTTTTCAGTTGCATCCCCAATTTCGCCTGATACAAAATTTAATGCTTGTAGCTGCTCGCATCCCAAACATTACATCCCACTGATAATCAAAAATCATCAGTTAGTGGTTTCCAACATTCTAAATTCAAAGCTTTTCTTTTA